AATGGCCGACATGCATGCTAGGGCGAGAGGTGCGTAACGGCATTGATTTGGAAAGACGGGAGATGCGCACATACTGACATGTGCGTAAACCACGAGCACTAAGCAACTTCTACGATGAACACGGGATAGCTTGTGTATAGAAAACCATGTTTTCATATTTTTCATGCTAAAGCAAACTTGTAAATGAACCTTCTGTTACAACATGAGAAGAACCTTTGCTGAAACACAAGTGCTGTACATTTTGGTGTATATATTCCATATTTAATGTAATTTAGTAGTCTGTAGCATATGTGAAAAATTATGATGTACTATTAAGATACAGCTCTGTAGAGTTATACAGTATATTTTCTTTCACGAACTTTCCCTGTTACACATTTTCTTGGTACTACTGTAATGCTATTGCTAGTTCAGTTCCCGAGTTAAATTCCAGTCATCGCTCCTGTAGCTGAAGCATTTATATACCCTGTTCCCGTACGATAAAGGTTAAACATTCAGTGAAAGCAGGAAGAATGGAGCTGGTGTAAGCCGGAACTAAGGTTTAGCCTGTTTGATGTTCGAACAAGCAATTTTTCTTTTGTTTTGGGGAGCCATTTCACAGGCCTGTTTCATCCTTGGTTGGACATTTGTGTGTACTTTTTTTTTAATTTACTTATAACATCAGTTAAGACTGATAAGTTATCTCATCTTTTATTTTGTGCGTATGGTGAAATTAAAGATTGTTTTTAGCAGTGTGCGAACACGAATCTCTCAACATTGCAGTTAATTTGCACCGTGATTGAATTACATTATTTTGATAAATGTATTTTGTTTATGTCTTTGTTTTCACTGCTTCTGCTACAGCTCTTTTATGGTAAATGTTTTGGTAGAGACATAAACCACTTTTTATAAAACTTTCTGACAGTTTTATTGGCATGAAGTGGAAATACTGAGTTTTCCAGATAGAACTGACTGTTCCACACTGTAGAGCGGAGTGGATGGTGCATTTTATATATCACATTATTTGTTCTGTGATGTTTTACTGGCTCCTGAATTTTTGTGCATGTGTGCTTGATTAAATTGTGTTATCAGCTGACGGAATTTGGCCACGTATTAATCATGTTATGAACGTTGGCAGCAGTTTTGAACATTAGAGTTGAGAGTTTTGTTCCTGAGGAGCCTACTTTATCTCTATTCTAAAAGATATTTATTTGTAGTTTTCATGTGTGAACTGCGTAGTGGTGGAATATTGCAGTTGGTTGCAATGCTGAGAGAGTCTGATTCTCACTGACTGGTGTGTGTGTATGTATATATCAACTAGGAGGCAGATATACATTTCAGGAAGTTGTCGAACATTTAAACATAAGAGATAAAATTGTTATTTCTTATGTTTGAAGTGATGTGCTGGGAATGATTTAAATAATTGAATTATGGTTCTGTTGGAAATGGTTCCAAAGCATGAAACAAGTATAACATTATACTCATATCATGAGTATAAAAGTTCATGCGTTTTAGATACTTCATCATTGCCACAGATGGTAAGATCTGGAAGATGAATTTTTCTGCTTTCACAAGTTTTCTGCTGTACATGGTAAATTACGTCATCAACAAAGACCAGGCATAATTTTATTGTTATTAAATAAAAGTGTTCATATTTGTTAAAGTTTTGCTTTGTTGTTATAATTATTACCTATCATGTCTTGTAAATATTTATCTTATCATTAGGTTGATATAATTTTTGCCTAAATTATTTGATGAACTGAGATGGTTTATTTCTTTAATTTATAAGCATAATGCATAGATGCTAAGTATAAAGTTACTTTTAAAATTGTATTATATAGTGTGAATGTCTTTGTGTGTGATTGAGGATCTAGTGGCATGAACAATTCTGTAATGTAAGATGAAAGTGCATATTTTTTCAGTGCCAAAAAATCATCACTCATGTTTCTTTTTCTACTGGTGATTGAATTATTTAAAAATGAAGTGTGACTGTCACAAAAGAAAATAAAGCTATATAATTGCCAATCATTTATGTATGTATATTTTATTTAATTTGGTAACATTGCTGAAACACAGTTTTATTTTGTTAAGGAGATGAACATTTATTTGTTAAAATTGATGCAAATGAGCATGTTCCTAATATGAAGAATGTTGCATGATGTTTTACCTGATACTGTTGAGGTGCTGAACCTCTACAAACGCTGTCAGTCTCTGAGCACGAATGTTGCTCTTTGCATTCCTTTGTTTCAGCGAGTCCCCTGAATCCTTTATATGTTAAAGAACTTACAAACGTAGCTTAAGAATTTTGTTAACTTTTAAGACCACTGTACGCTTAACAAAAGGTGACTCGGTTCTTCCAGGAATGCGCTTGTCTCGTCTTTTGTTCTATTTGATATCAGTATTTTAAAGTTGCCAATTTGAATTTTGGTTCTGCGTTTAGTAGTCATTCTCCTCTCCTCTTCATAGTTTACGTAAGGTTATGCCCTCCTCTTCCTGCGTTGAACTTCTAATATTATAAACTTACTTCAGTATTCATATTGTAAACTTCAGACTTTATAAATGGTTTTGAAAGTGGAAAATAAACATTTCTATTCATATTCCATTAATATCTGCCTTTTAAGATTCAAAGATTCTAGATACCTTTGTGATTTGTTGGAATTATCTTTGATTGGCAATTCTAAAATACAGTTCTGTAAAGTACAGCAAAGGTGTGTATTTTTATTATTATTATTTTTGTTTCTTCTGAGTGTTATGTGTGCGATGCTGCCCTGAAGTCTCATGTTTTGTCTCTTGCCTCATCCATTATTGTTTAGATTTGCTTTCTTTTTAAATTTCAGACCCATGGACCCGGTTCCTAAACATGTAGTTAGGTATGTTAGCCAGTTTATGTACTTTTTCTTCTAGATTTAATACGTGTGATTAGTTTTAGTTGCAGAATTTGTTTTGAATTCTGTTTTTTATTTGTGCATGTTTATGGGCTGAATGCTATTTTTGAAGTGCAATGAGATAATTCAACAGCATCAGTTTTCTCCAGATTTCTAAAAGCTGTGCAGTCCAAAAATTTTAGAATAATTTTCCAAAGTTATATGCAGTGGTTGTGGTTACTAAATGTAATCCACTGCATTAAGCAAAATCACGCCCCCTTATTTTCTTTGAACAGGCCCATATTTGGCATGACAGACGAAAACCTTTTCTCGTATGAATAATGTCAGTGAATCTATGACACCTTGGTTTGTTTATACACACTAATTTAGAGGTATAGTAGGCACTTGATTGATCTCTTAATGTAAGGACATAATTTGCTCCATCATAGAAGCTGTTTCCAGTTTTACGTACAGTTATGTGTCTGTCTTAATAGTAGCATATGCATTTCAGTACAGGTTTGTTGGAAGATACTGCTTGTTAGCTTTATTTATATGAAGTGTTTTAAGGTTGGCAGTTAGCATCTGATTTTATTGTTGAATAAAAACATTTACTCATTCAAGCATCATAAGTTTTTCCTTATGTTGTGAGTATAAAATAGTTTCTTACAAGTGCAATTTAAGCTCATTTAGAATACAAATTTATTCATAGTTCTATTACAACTGTTGTATTATTTGAATGGAGGTCATTTGTTTAGCGCTTGTATTTGGCTTAACTCGTTAAGGATTTTGAAACTTCTTGTTACAGCAGTACAGGTAATGATGACCAGGTCAAGCCACGATCTCTCAGATTTACGTGGAGTATGAAGACTACGTCATCCCGAGATCCCAATGAAATTATGGCCGAAATTAGGAAGGTAATTCATATGCTATTTCATGATTTATTATTTTGATTAATATACATTTTGTAAAAGCTTGTTGGCTTGTGTAGTAGTTACCAGACTTGGTTTCTCACAACTTTTCCACAGATTTGACCCATGTGGTTTGCTTATTCATGCCTTTCTTTTGATGAAATTTGTGACAAGAAATCCATGTTATTCAGCACTGTTTTGCCATTATTCGACACAAATCCAAGAATGCATGCAGCCAACTGATTCACTTAGCACCTAATTCATAAATTTCTGCAGACTCGCTGTGCATTGTATATGTATTTTGTAGCAAACTGAATTTGGAAATATGTCCCAGACCAGTCCAGTTCTTTTGATTAAAATGTTTCTCTTTATACTAGGGCATTATCTTAACAAGTGTGAAAGTTGCACTTGCAACCTTAGCTTCTTTCCATGTATCCATGTTCCTTCATTCCTCTTCCTGAGCCTAAGAGGGTAGTAGTAATATGTGATCAAGCTGTCATTGACTGAACATTCACCAAAGAAAAACTGTGGGCTGGGTTACTCAGAGCACAGAGAATTAGTAAAACACACACATTAAATGGCTGTTCTTAAGAAATTGCAGAACTGAATTGGAGGCTTTGTCACGTGACATCGTTTGAATTGGAACAAAGTTTCCTTAAAAATATATAATGGCTTACTGACTGCATCGGCTGTAAAACCATGTCTCGTAGGACAGTGACTAGAAGAGCAACTGAACAGAGGATAATTTTGTATGTTCCAAGCAGGCGCATGAATGCCGGCTATTTAAAGAATGTGTCTCGTAGTTGTAAATGCCCTTAGTAGCTGGTGTGCTTCCGGGCCGCCACAGACACAGTGCAAACATAATAAGGTTAAATACCAGAGCAAGGTACAGCATCAACATGCTGTTCGCAGTGGAATTTGGCCCATTTAAACCAAACCACATTTGAATAATATTTGAAAATTCAGTTCTTACTCTATAGAAAACACAACATTTCACCATTGCAAAGATCAGTTGGTTAATGGTGTGTAAGGATATTATGCTTCTTTATTCTGAAAATCATACAAACACAAACTGTGAGCAAAATGCTGAATTACTGAGCGCAAAATAACTTGTAGTGGGATTCATTTTGATGCAGTTTACTTTCATTTGAAATTATTCTATTTGTGATATTGCAAAAAGTTTGATGGAAGACAGTACAGAGCATATTATAACATAATTAATGTTTAGATTCGTGTGTTACAGGGAACCAATCAGTGTTCATCGCTCCTTGTGGTCATATAAATGATGTTCAGTGTGAATGAGTGTCTGAAAATATATTCTGCACTTTCTTAATTTTTAAAAGTAAGGTTTTGTAATAAATGCAACAAATTGCAATTTTTGTAGGCTTTTAATATTCTTTCTTTCATGCAAATTATGCCTTTGTAAGGAAAACAATTGCAGTGTAAATGCAGTCTGCAGTTATTCTTGAATACAAGGTCCTTGCGAGTAATCTTACTGTGCATTGTACATGTCTCCTAATAACCTATGCAGTTTTGTTTTCTCTTTTTTTCTTTTCTCTAAAAAATGGATCCTAAGGAAATCTGGCGAGAGTGTATGGACTGTATTTTCTTGGCTCAGCATAGGGACCATTAGCATGCTTTTGTGAATATGGCAATGGGCCTTAATTCCAGAAAGGTGCTGAACCAGAACAGAATCTGAACAGACCTTCATTTCAAATGGTTCGAAGTCTTTGCATGAACAAATGGAAACAGAGGAAGACATTGCGCTGAGAACTGTTTACATCATCGGTATTCTTTCTGGATGTCATAACTGTCATGTGTGATTTATTAGGTAATCTAATGTATTGAAATTGTGTTGCCAGGTTCTGGATGCAAACAACTGTGACTACGAACAACGTGAGAGGTTCTTGCTACTTTGTGTTCACGGTGACCCTAACACCGACTCACTGGTACAGTGGGAAATAGAAGTGTGTAAGTTGCCTCGTTTGTCACTTAATGGAGTTCGCTTCAAGCGCATCTCTGGGACATCTATTGGCTTCAAGAACATCGCTTCCAAGATTGCCAATGAACTGAAACTGTGACTACCCCTGTTGGAGGGGGCGTGCAGTGAAGATGAGGGGAGCATGCCCCCTCCCCCTTCCACGGAACCGTCGCGGGGCTGACGATGGAAGCTTGGCCCCCGGCGGCCCTGGAGGTTTCGGCGCTGAAATGATAGAAACTTGCCTTCTTTTAGCCAGCCTGTTGGGAAGTGGGTGGTTTCTTTGTTGGCACCTTCGATGCTGTGAGCTTTGAAATCACCTCTAATAATGGAAGGGCTAGTCTTCTGTCGGTCTTGAAGATGATGTTTAAGGAAAGAAAACTTTACTTTCCTGATTGCAGCCTTGGAAAGCAATTGCAATATATAAAGAAGAATACTCTGCAACTATGTTGAAGGCTGGAAGGTCTCTATGCTGTCTGAAATGTTGTCTGTGAGATTTTAGGTTCTTGTGGTGGTGAAGATGAGAGTGTTGTTGTTCTGGGTTGTGGCGGTGTATGGGCTCTGGTAGATACTAACATTTCAGTGAAATGTACTGTCAAAGACAGAGACAGTATGTTTATCCAAAACATTGGTATTTATGTATGAGTTCACATGGTGTCACAACCCAAAACACATCATGAAATTTTCTCTGCCATTTACATTGGCTTTTCAAGATTGACTTTTTTGAAGCAGTGAACAACACCAACACAATTTTTTGGTCCTATTTTATTTTCCAAATGATTTTCACCTTCAGGCCTGGATATTTATTGTTAAACACTTAATACAAACTATGCTACCCAAGTTATATGGTTTGAATGACGCGTCATGTTGGAGCCCCTTGAAGATAGGGGGTTTACTGTAGTGATCTATTGAAAGTGTTTCTTCCAGTAAGCTTTGTGGCCACCATTTGCAGCACAAACGTTTCCCATCTGCACATATTGAGGTATCTCAAATAATTTAATGCACCTTTAGCTGTTTGTTAACCTATGCAGCCCTCCTCAACTTTGACACACCTTAATATTGTTCTTAGTTAAAACTATTACAATAAAATTTTTAAGAAGAAGAATTGTGCCCTTATAATTGATTGTATGTATAAAAATATTATACTGCTGTCTTGTATAGCATGCATATTTTCTGTGAAACTTGGCACCCCTCCATTTGTTTAAAGGAATACATTTTAGTGTGTCACACACGCATTGAGAATTGTGTTCTTGACTGAAAGTAGCATTCAAGAGGTTAGTAAGGTATTCCATATAGAAAGGGTAGATTAAATAAGAGTGTCTATTCACTAAATGGAATACTTAAAATTGCTTCCATTTTCTTGAAAGATAAATGTACCTTCAGTATTTTACAGTTCGCTCAGGAAGGGACCAACTCCTGCGAAGTGTACAGCGATATCGTGTGTGTGACTTACTGGTCTATTAACTGCAGTAGCTTAGACCTAAAGATGTGATCAGAAGGGCAGTCCTTAAAGTTTCCATACTTGTGTAGGGTTGGCACAGGAATTAAACAAAGCTTGAATGCACCCCTCAGACTTGTTTAATTGATGTGGTGAGGATGAGAAGTGTTTGTGACTGTACATCGGACCTGTAGCAAGATTGGCGCGGTTAACACCGCCTGATGGTTTGGTGTTAACTCCTGACAGGCATACAGTAAGCTGTAATGGAGTAGGTATTTATACAGGCATTAAGCATCTGCATTGCGTTTTCACGCGACATAATAATGGACAAACTTTGCAAGACGAACACTGAATTGTTTTATCATGACTTTTCCCCCTTTCTGAAGTTACATTGAACAGATTTTCTACAGGCATTTAATTTTTTATCGCAAAGACATCTGGTATGAAGAGAGTTATTGTTTTATGGATTTGTGCCCCAAACAGAAGCCAGTCGTCTACTTCCCTTTCAGTGACATACTGCTGCATAAAACTGTACTTGCAAAATTAGCCTTGTTCTTCAGAAAGTTGCAGAAAGTGAAATATTTTGATGTAAGAAAGAAAGAAGTGAATGGAATCTTGTGTATTTCAAGTCTGCATTGCTACAATAATTTTGTTCTCCTACAGTTGTGCAAAGTGTAAAAAGAAATTGGACAGAAATTAATTTAAATATCAAATGAAATTAGTTAGTGAATATTTGTAAAAAGAACATCTTAAGTACAACATGTGTAGATGAAATGTCCGATTCATCCTCGTTCCCTTCGTGAAGGTGGTGAATATCAATAATCAGTGTAACTATAGGAACAGTGCATCTCCGTTAAATTTGTTTCTTGTAGATCAGGCATTTTGTAAACACCTAGAAATTCTGGTGGACACCAGAAATTCAGATGTTAGAAGCTCCTAATAGCTTTTAACAGTTTGTTGCAACTGCTGTGCTGTGCGAGTTGCATCTTCAGAATGCTCACCATTGTAAATAGTATATGTAGCCCATACCAAGTGTAGAGTCTTAGGTAATGACATTTCTTGGTTGCTTTAATTAGTGCCCTTTACTTTTGCAAAACAAATTATGTGAAGAAAATTTACAATTTTTTATTCTGAAAGTGAAAGCAGATTTTTTTTAATACAGGCCAACATTTAAACGTAATTTACAAAAGACATTTCAGGTTGGTACAGGTTTACATTACAGTTGTTTGCAGTTTGTCATCTTTGATTGCAACAAGTAATGATTTTTTTTAAATATTTCCTGTCATAATTGTCATGGGTACAGGTACCAAAATCTCAAGTTGCTTTATAAATTTGTTTTGTTTTGAAAACATTTTGAAAGAAAAGATCCATTATGCAGCTCAGAACCCTCGTCTTCATAAAGCACCACTCGAGCACCACTGTTCAGTTTATAATAGTAATTATTTAATGTGTTCCCTTACGAGCTGCCAGCGAAGGTGTGCTGTACTGTGCATTGTGTACGTTATCAGATTTTCCCAGTGAACAGAAGAATGCTAATTGCAGTTTGTTATAAAATGCAAGTAAATGGTGCTTATTGTAGGATTGTGCATTAAAATGTTGACAGCAGTTCCACCTCACAAACTAAAGCTGTTAACTGTTTCTTGTCTATGTGTCTTATCTGCAATTAAAATGGCTGAAATTATCAGATTCGTCCAGCCTCTGCCCAGAGGTAGGACTTACTTGAATATTATTTTTAAATTAAATATCATACAAATGACTTGTTGGCATTGAGACTTATAATGTATTATGCATAAAACACTGAAATGTCAGTCAGCTCTAAAATGTTGCTGCATTCTGTAGGTAATACTGCAACCAAAAGAAAAAAAATAAATTGTTTCAATTAATTATGTTGTCCCACATAGATTGAATCGCTTTACATGTTTGGGAAGTTGAGTGTCATGTTGAACGTTTGGTTCAATCTTCCGCATTCACCTGTCAGGAACTAGAGTCAGTAAAAGCTGTGCCAAAGGGCGAAACACGAGACGTTTAGTCTCATGTTTGTTTTGAATCTGCGTGCTTTGGGATCAGAATGATGCATTAAGTCTGTAGTGTGATCGGTTAAAATGCCTCATAATTTGACCGGTCTGGTTGAGGGGCTGACAGAATCTTGACTTCCTGAAAATATTTTAACATTTTCAGGAAATCCCAAGTTTTTCTTCGTGACATTGACCTGCTGTGAGGAAGTTTTTAAATGGATGTTTGTTTTCATTATGAACCTTCCTGAAACAATAATGTAAAGATGGTGGACAGCCAGAAGCTTATGCACTATAAGAATGTTGTTTTAATGATCTCAGATTTGATCTTCTCTGTTTATGAAAGTGTGCTTGAGGAAACAGGTGGGGTTCCTTTGCACAATTTGTATGAAATTGTCGCTAAATAGTGGCATTTCAAAGCTCATTTTATATAAATGTGGTGACAGCAATTTTAAACCCAAACACACATTGCAGTTGACCTCCGTTTGCACCAATACTCTTTGTCTTCTAACAAATGTTGGAAGTCGGTGAAGCAGTTCACGCTGTAATGGTACCAGGCCTAGGTGTAAGTAGACGGTGCTTATATCCAGGTGGCGCAACATATACCGTACCTAAGCTTGGCTCCGTTGTTTAAATTGAATCCTCACAAATTGTGTGTGGATGTGATGTTTGTATGTGTGACCAAGAGTGGATAATATTTGGTAAAGCAAAAATAAATTAAAGTGAATGATACATGAAAGAAGGTAAATTCAATGGCACAGGACAAAATACTAACATGGATATAGAACATGTTTGTTTGTTTGTTTGTTTGTGACATTTAAAAGAAAGTGTGAATCTACAGACTGCCATTGCAGGAATGAATATGTGAAAATAAAAATGAGATCAAGGTCATTCTTTTCCAGGAATCCATGTATCGGTTTCATTGCAATTACGTGAAAGAGGAGGGAATGTAAGCAAACTCTAAAATTGCATCCCCCAATATGTATGCTTTGAATGCTAGATGTGTGTGTTGGGCACTACACGACAAGGGAAGGATATGAAAGTATGTAATTTATTACCTAACATGACATGTCCCTGTTAGCACATCATTGCCTTTCCCTGAAGGAATCACAAATGAATTTTTCCTGTAGATAACTGATAATCCTGTTCGCTCCTCATGTAAAGTACAATAGGCATCCCTTTTTTTCTTTCTTTCTTTGAAGCTCTGTATTTTAATATTCTGGTGGAAGTTTGAAGCATGGGGAGTATGACTGTAGCATTAAGAAATAAAATTTATAATAAAATGAAATAACTTATCCATGCCTACTGTTTTACACATTGTTTACAAGGTGTTTTTCATATTATAAACGTCCATAAATATTATATCGTGTATAATACCCCAAAGTCATATTTAGATACAATTTTATTGCATTGTTTAGCATAATGACAAGCTTATTACAACTTCAAATATTTATTAAGTTTAATGTGCTGTGTGAAACATGAATCTAATAGTAATGCTGTGTTGATCATATTTAGAAGTTCAAATTTCTTTCCCCATTTTGATTAGTTAATTTTCAAAGAAACTTTTTTCATCATTGAGAGGCAATTTAAAAGTTTCTAAACGCACCTCAGACTGTCTTCACTGTTATTGGCTAATGTCTTACCTTGTAATGAAATTCAAGAAATTTATACCAAGAACATGGCCTGGATGTGTTTTTAAGTCAACAGATTTACAAAGTGGTATTACGGGACATGGCGACGCTCATTTCAGGAATCAGTCTTGACACAAGGTGGAAAACCGGCATGCCACATTTTTTCCTCGATTCACAGTGCCGTAGTATTAATCTTCAGTTCTACTGGATTAAATGAAACTTTCATAATAGCAATTAATTCCTAATAACAATTTGTGTTCTGTTTGCATAAACTTGCAGATTGTTTGAAAATTGTACATACTTTTCATGCCAGTTCCGGCTGCAATTGCTCGTGGCATTTCCAGTGACAAGTGAAGTTCATGTGGTCAAGCAGGGGACCTTTACAGTGTTTTCATTGTGGTTCAATGTCCAGAAGAAAATGTGCACAGGAAAAGAAGGAAAATCAGTGATTGGTAGAATCAGGTATGTACTTATCAAAACAAAGTTTTCATGCTAAGGTCCGAGATTGGAAATCTTTTAGTCAAAAGAAGCTTGGGTAATCACAAGCATCAACTATTCGTACAAAAGATGAATTGTTCCACTCAGAAGACACTTCGTGAAATTGCCCAAGTTGCTGAAATTATTTGAGTGAAGCTGGAAGTCACAGAAAGAATGGGACATACAGAAGGGTAGAGAATGCTTTGACGTAAGATGAGCAGTTTGAAGACAGTAAGAATAAGAATGCACTTCGTACATTTGATGAAATAATTGAATGACTGCAATAACAAGATATCTGATCACATTATGTTGTGAAGTAAATTATTAGGCCAGCCTTTCCTGGCAGTACAGCAGCTGCTAATTATGAAACACCATCGTCATAACCCTTTGAAATGTACTAAATACTGTAAGCATGACAATGGAATAATGTCGGAACATCAGCTGTTTGAACAATTCATTGATTTTGCGAAGGGCCGGACGTTGCAAAACATCGACTAATGAACCGGCTGACTCGCGCTGTTACATCCGGTCGTGTCCTGCGCCTCCGCATTCCATTATTGATCTCTGCATCGCGTTGAGGCCCCTTGATTTTAGTCGTCGCCCCGTGCACGGCCGTTGAAGATCTCCGTCGACATGAAAGAAAGGATATTTATTCCTTTCTGCCTGCTAGCACTTTACACAGGTAAGACATATCACGTGACATTTCATCACGCATTGAGCGTGATGTTTGCTCAATACTGGTCGAGCAAACGAGGAACCCTGCCTGTTATCTGAGATAGTAGTGCAGCTTCGGCGGGGTTGAGTGTAGAAGGTTTTCGGAACAAATACATTACAATTAGAGAGTTTGAATTCATTTACATTACATAGATCCTTTGGGCTAAAGAAAAGGATGTAAATAATTTATTTCACGTGTAGATATACACGTACTTGGCAATTTTCAGTACAAGTGCAATACGTTATTTCACATACAAAAAATAGCTCAAGAGTTTTCAACAATTAAATCACCTACAGAGTAGAAGGATAGATTTGCGGTAATATTTATGCAGGGTTCAATACTTTATATAATGATTTAAACGTTTAATTATAGGTGGAAGATTATTGAATAACTTGATACCCGTATAGTATACTCCATTTTGATATTTAGTGACGTTAATATTTGACAAGAGGTGTGCACCGGGTATTGGTCGGAAAGCCTGAGGGGAAGAGACCTCTGGGGAGACCTAGACGTAGATGGGAGGATAATCTCAGGCGGGATCTATGGGAGATAGGAGTTGAAGGAGACTGGAGTTTGTTGGCCCAGGACAGGGTCCGGTGGAGGGCTTTGGTTAATTCGGTGATGAACCTTCGGGTTCCGTAAGCCATGTGGTTAGTTTAATGTTATCGTCTCATAGATCGCCCTCGAAACTTATGTATGTCTGCTTGCCCCCACCCGCCCGACTGCATCGTAATTGAGCTCTGTGTGTTCTCCATTTCGTAAACATTTAATATTTCTTGGGTCCAAACATTTTCCTTGACAGCTGTTTTAAAATATCTGTAATTTATTTTAATATTCCTTTCAGCTCAGTCAGAATCGTCAGCGACGACATGCAGGACATCCGGGGTTCGGTTCCAAGTAGGGAACGTCTTCATGGCGCAACATTATTATTTCCTTTCATTGTTCATGACAAACTGTTAATATTGTTTCGTTGTTCACAGCCACGCAGACGGCGACTACGTCAGATGCGCAGTCAGCCGGCACCACCACCACGCAGCCGGACGAACGGGAACAAAGATACGAAACGGTGGGTCCAACTGCTTCTCATGCATGAGACACTTTTCGCAAGTATTAGAGCCCAGAATTGTAGCAGCAAACCGGAATCCGATTACCGGGTCTGAGTTCCTCGTTCAGTCCCCGGCTGCAGCTTTTGTTCCTGATGCCACTCAGGTATACCAACTACCTAGAACGGAAAACCTCTAGCTTTAATTGGCAATTCTGACAACAGTGGGTATTATCGTTGCTAATTTCAGGCATCAGCAGAAGTGTCGAGGCAAGAAGCGATGTTAAATGGGTCCATTGGCTTTCTCAAGCAAGGAATGGAAAGGTGTTCAGATACAGAGGAATGCTGCGAGAAGTTTTTCTAGGACGTGTGGTTGAGTAACAAACAAATTAAACTAAGCTTCTTGTTTATTTTGTACAGGTTAATTTGAGTGAAGGAGCCCTGTCAGCTGACTCTTCAACAACCAAGGGATCATTGAATGGTGAGAGACCGACCCTCGTCTGTCGGTAGCGACAACAGTAAGAAGGGAAGAGCAAACATTGTTTATTCTTGACGGCAGGAAGAATGTAGTCACTGGATGCTGTGCAGGTGACATCATGGAGAGTAACGAAGTCAGCCGTTGAACTAATGTTAAAAGTCAAACCAAGAAATGTTTTCCAGCCCAAAATTGGAATTTAACGAGGGCAATAACTCAACGTTTGCTCTTCTTCGGTGGACAGAGTCAGTGATTTAAAAGCAGTTACTTCATTCAGGTCCACATAAAAAACTACTGGTCAGAAATTTATAAGTGTTTTCTTTATATTTATCTTTATCTTTAAATTATTGGCTCTTTAATGTGCACGAATCCAATTCTTATTACAGCTGCATTGCTCGTTCTCTTTACTGGTGTCTTAGAAAGTGCCTTGTATTTTTATTCCAACTTTCTCAAATGCCTTTCACCTGTGATCAGAGTGACTGAGCTGAAGTCATTAGAACTCTGCTTTAAAGTAAGAACCATAAGGGGTGCACCTCAAATGTGTACTCAGCCATGTACGTTGCTGTCTGAGAGCCAACCGAGTGGCATCCAGACAGAGCTTCTGCACTTCACTTGTTACTTGTGGAAAATGAATTATTTATTCACATCTAATAAGAGGCTCTGACCTTCAATTCAAGAATCCAGCAATTAAAACTACTATAAAGCATTTGCATATATTCATTTGGGTTAATCAAATGGAGAAGCACAGAATTCTAATGCACTGACAACAAAGAGCTGTAGAAAAATGTCTATTTCACGTTCATGCAGTCACGGAAAGATCCAATCGGGTGGAAATGTTGAAAGAGTACTTTCATGTGAAGTCTGAATGCACCAAATTTCGTAATGTAATAAGTAAAGCAGATGCATTAGCAAACAGTTGGGTTGTTTATTCCTGGAAGAAACCAACTAGGAATGAGAAGATTTTGAATCTATGCTGAGCGCATGGACGGCAGTCAGTCCTGTGTCGGTGGCATCTTTCCACTCTGTTTGAGTTCGTTCTTAATCTCAAAACCCTTTGAAGTTTAAAGTGTCTATTTATGCTACAAAGGAAAGGACCAAATGTTGTTTGGTTAGGAAAGTATCGCTGATAAGCCCATTGTTTCATGTAGTAATGAAGATGTGTCTTCCAGGCACGACTGCGCCAGCGGGTAACAGCATCAGCCTGTTCAGTCTGAGTAAAGACGGCGCTCCGTGCATCCTGCTCCAGGTCGACGCCTTGATCGAGTTCAGATACAAGACCAAGTTTGGAAAATACGGAGTGAGCCTTCTTTTGCATGTTATTCCTTATGAGCTGCTCGTAGTCATTTAATTAAGACACGAATCGAAGCTTGGAATGTTTCCGAATAGTGACTTTAACTTTCTTAACGCAATTGATTCGTTTCCATGTTTATTGATACCATCTTCTGAAGCCAGTAAGAATTCAGCTAATTAAGAACTACGTCGTGCCTTGTGGTTCATGACCGTGTTCACAAAAGCCCACTCTTACAGTCGTGAGTATGAAAATGGCTTCTTCAGGGTTGTAGCACCGTGTGGCCTGGTAGACGTTTACCATCATTTCAGAGGCTCTCCTGCTGCCTGCATCGCCCTGATAATGGAGGCAGCAAGGACCTGACAACCCAACTTGTTTCCATGTAATGGTTTATCCCAAAATCTGTGTCTAGGTCTTCTGATGACGCCATTGTACGCAATTTCTCATTTGCAGTTTGATTTTTTTTACTAAAAGCTGAACTACATGCACTCGGGGGCCAGCCAAGAGCTGGGTCAGTGATGAAGACCCTGACAGGGCCATCACATGCCACGTGGGGCGAAGCCTACAAAAATTATGAACAGACATTGCATATCTACAAGACTTTCGTCTTTTATAATAAGGAAGTCTGTGATAAGAAAAAACTAATTGTAATAAAGTAATTTGTCGTGCAGTCTAGAAGTTCTGAAAATAGTTAGATTGCACCAGAATTTGGATCCGACTTTAGTACGCGTAGGCACCGCCTAAAACCAAAAGGCAGTACGAATTGTACTTATTCAGAAGTCAAAATACTTGAATAATTTGGCCATTACTGACAATAACAAAATGAGTTGTAGCCGCCATCAGGGCAATGATCGCTCTGAGGCGTCGGTATAACCAGGAATAGACTCGCTGTTTTGAGGAAACTGAAAACAGTGGATCTGAAATTGTGCCTTTAGCCGGTGCTGGCGTGACGTACAGCCTGCATACAGGAGAGTTCATTTACAGATGTGAGGGGAATATTGAAAAGGATCTTAGAAAAATATGGCCCAAGACTTCTGCTGAAGGACGTTTCAAATCTTTATTAGCGTCGCTGGTGTTGATGCAGTGCATCGAATATGGAGCAGATCTGACGTATTCCACCACCCTACACTCCGATACCATTTTTCTTGCATTGTACCAGTCGTACTGATTCAGTGCATCTTCAATTGCTTAGAATAGATCCATATACTTGCCGTCGGATGTCACGACCAGTGGAGACTGCAAGGAGGAAGATACTGCAACGTTCGACCTGAAATGGGAATCTTTCGTCCTGACATGGAGTTTTGCCAAGGTAAGTTTTTCTTTTCTTTTAAAGAAACAACAAATGCAGAGATGAAATGCGTTCTCCTTCGCTTTGTCTTTGCCCCGCATAATTGGCCAATCTTTCTTCGCAGACTCTGGGCCGCGAGCGGTGGTACGTGAGCGGTGTTCAGCTGAGGTTCGACGCATCTGAGAAGCTGTTCGAGAACAACATCGCAGGTGAGATGCCCACTCGAACGTACACACCATCAGGAAGGCAAAGTTGCCCCCGAAGCCACGAATAAATGAGGAAAGCTGCACATATTAGGCCCCTGTACCTGAATCTGGGCACTCCCCTAATTAGGCCCCAGTCTGAAGGCAAGGCAAACCCCGGCTGTCCGTCCCATAGCCAATCGGGTCTTTGACCGAGGAAATCCCGTCAGTCCAGGGCCGTAGAACGCTGTTGTTTCTCAGAGTCGGAGGAGTAAGTATATTGAGAAGTCACGTTCCTCCGAAATGCGGGCTTATGAAGCTGCGACTGTAGATTCATTTCGAGGGACGAATCACAAGCTGTCACAAAGGAAACGCTGGTACGGAGAGTTTTTCAGAGTCCAGTGTTCAAACTTTATTTTGTACTCTGGCCTCCAAACCTCCGACTAGTCCGGCTGACGGTGGTTTAGCTCCTTCCTGCCATTCGCCGTGTTCCAGGTCCTCGCGTGCTGACGTCACCCGAGAGCCACCCCATGTTTTTCCCCACTCCGGTGGGCAAGTCGTACTCTTGCCAGTCAGAAACCTCGCTGCAGCTCCTCAATGGGGACACGAGCGCCACCTTGTTCCTCCGAGGACTGAAACTTCAGCCCTTTATCAGCAAGAAGGACTTCGGTCCAGGTAAGACCGTTTGTAGATGAAATTTTTTTAAATCCTAAATATCGTCTTCCTCGTAAGTGTACGACTTTTTATGTATTTATTGATTTGTAGTTGTGAGCAGCAGATCCAAGTAGCCATTTCTCAGTTTGCAGTAACGATCGCAAGGCACGCGCATAATCTAGAAATGTGATATCGACTGCTGCTACTTTTGCAACTTTCAAACTGAAGTCCCGTAGTTTCAAAATTAGGAATTCTTATAAATGTCATAAAAAGTGAAAATACCTAAAGAAACTTTGTGATTTTCAAAAAAAAAACTTGAAGTCAGAACTTTTCAAAAGAATGTACTTTTGTGCACTCTTTGGACATGTTCTTACATTTTTTGATTTTTCGAGAATTTGCCTGGCAGACACCGGGTGATGCAGAGACCCTGTCGGGCAGTGACCGTTTGAGGCAAATGTTTTGAATAATTTCACAATTTTTTGGTTTAGTGCGCGTTTTAGACAATTTTCAACATTTTTTGATTTTTCGAAAATTCTGAAAAATTTTCACCACGCCATCCCTACCAGACTCAGAATCTTCCGGTCTCTGGAACACGGAGTCTTTGCTAGACTCGGCCTCTGCCTCACCAGGCCATTTTAGAGAAGCGCGTTCAGACACCGGATTTTTAGGGCGATGTATGGGGAGATTTTTGAGTCTTTACACCTCAGTTGCACGGCCTCTGCTGACCTGGAACCGAGATTCGGAGTTTTCCTCCGTCATAAACTTCGCTGGTTGCGGGTCTCCACATCGGGCTCTGCGATGACTGAGCAGAGCGAACGCAAGGAAATGTTATGATGGCCTCCGGGCAGGTCTGCTGACTCTCACCTCTCGGGTTGTCCTCTTCCAGTGTACGAGTGCTCCCCGGGAGGAAGCCTGGCTTTCCGCGACGAGACCGCGCCCATCGCCGTGGGCAGCACCCTGGCCGTGGTGGTGCTGCTTACCGTGACCGGATACGGCGTCTACCGTTACGTGAAGATCAAGAAGGTGCAGTACGACACGATGGAGTAAGGCGAGAAAATGGTCCATTTGAACGACGGGATCTTTGAGGCACGAAGTGACCAGCTGACGCGTGCGACTTATACGAAACGCGAACTTGCGAATTTATTGAGCAGTCACGTTCTGTTAGTGAATAGTGGGTTTTCCTTTTACCTTGAGACATCCACTCGGTTGCAGAAGCGCTTGATGGACGGCGCATCCCGTCGTCTCCTGCTGTTGCGAGACGATGGATTCTTCCTTGGTTTTACCAAAGAACAGCGGACTGACGAGGAGACTCGCGGTCTCACAATAGAAGGGACACTGACGTTCAAAGTCTAGAGTATATAGAATTGCAAAAGCACTTTCTTCCGTAGAGAAATTTATTAACCAAGTGGACACTGAAAGTGGCTAGTTCTGTCACCCACCACCCAAAGCGCTGTATAACCTGTGTAGACGGCGAAGAATTGTGAAATAAATCAATAAAGAAATGTTTTCGTTGTGACTATTCAAACGTTTCTTTTCAGAGACGAGCATCGACCCTTGGCCCTTCATGTAACGAGCGTTTCTGAAATTAATAATCGGAGGACGCGAGTGGCTCAGGTTAGAACAAACTGCAAACGAATTGTGCGTCTACAAAGAAGACGTAACCATACGAAGTTCCCGATTTGCAGCGCACTCTTCGTTTACCAACAGACGTCGGTTCTGGCGGACGCCTGCGAGGCGACGTAGAGTGAAATTGAGTCTCCACTTCCATGGAGTCGGAGCTGTCGATCGCCCACGAGCCTCATGTTGAGTTTTAGAGGTGGCGGCAAGCCCCTCACAGGACGTCGGACCTCGAAACTGGGCCACCTCTTCTCTTCTCGCATCAGCGGTTATACTTGGAACTTTCTCGGTCAGACCCTTCAGGAACAGCAGAACGTAATGAAAATATTTGCCCTTCATTTCGTACGAGATCGTAATTTTACCTACAAGAGACAATTAGCTCCATCTTTAATAAAGCAAATGTAATCAGCACTGCAGGTGGAGGAGACGAGTCCAGAACGTAAAACTTCCATACATAAAACGACCAATATAATATTTATTAAAAAAACATATTTACAGTTTGCATTTGAAAAATACTGACACAGCAAAACATGAAGCAACTCCACATTCTTCCTGTACGCACGTTTAATCTGTTCTGTACAGAAAGCGAATTAAGTTTCAAGCTCAGATTTCTTGAATATCCGTCGCAGTAACGAGTCCTTACAAATTCTTGGCACAAAACTGATAATATAATCGTACGGCAAATGAAAATCGTGTATGTTTCATAGATTCAAAGTCGTAAGAGGGTCATTTTAAGTAGAATATCTGCTGCAACAGAATCACACACACCGAGTATCGTCTTTACTCCACTGGCTCGCGGGCCACAACGTTACAAACATTAGGTCAGTTTACTAGTACGCCGTTGCAAGGTTCGTAAGTTACTCAAAAATTTTACGTAACAAAATATGCAATTACATTAAAAATTAATCGTTTTGACAAATGCCATTATTTTGGCTTGCTTACCGCCGGGTATGGAACCCAGGACACAGTCGACTTTTCCCATAATCTCCACGCCAAAAGGAACGATCGTTCTTCCATCGAGCCGAGGTTCCGAGCTACAGAAACGTCTTCATTGGAACTGGAACTGTGGGAACTTCTTCCTGACGACTTCGCCCACTCGCCATTCACGATAATTTCGAAAAGGACGTCTGCTCAATTGTACGGAAGAATGAAATATTACAAATGTTCGTAGGTACAGCGCCTTATGGTGACTGCAGAGACTACACCGCTCCACAGCAGTGGAGGAACAGTTGCCTACATTCACGGCGACCGGATGTGCGCAATTTCCTTTTTCGACGATCGAGCATCTGCGACGGGAACTCAACTCCTCCAACGGGCCCTATTCTGATCACGCCACGGCCCTACGCAATTAGTACATCAATTTCTAGGGCGTCTTTACGTTCTGAACGAAGGAAAGAACACACTACGGGCGCGACCATGTGTCTGTGGGGTTTCTCCCAACGACACGGCCGAAAGATGCGATGACATTAGTGCAAGAACTACCAACATGACGGCGTGAAGAATGCCTTGGAAACGTCAACTTTTCCAATTTGCAGTTCTACCAGTTCCTAAATCTATTTTCCATGTTCGCTGCACGCCAATTGGCTTTAACATGCGTCACAGAAATTCTGACAGTCGTTTTCTTAAAGATTTATATAACGAGGCACCAGAATTTGGAAAATATGGCTTGGACGAACATGACGGCGTTTCCGCGGAACATTAAAACGACTACAACTCACACACGCACTTACATTTACAAAAACAGTCGTGAAATTATTACATAGAGAATGAAGAATGCAACTTTACCGATTCACGCACGAAGCCTCGTACTTGCACCCGCGTCTGAACGTACGCAGAAAAAGACCAAACGATGCGCCGACTTCTACCAACGAAAAATATAAACGCAGGTTAACATTGCACATTTTACTAGAGCCACTTGCGAAGAATTTCGGGAACAGATAATGAAGCACTCGTTTTCTACACATTAGTTTCAAGTTTAAAAGGAAATGAGACACAATTCCAGCATCAGTCCCAACAGTTCACACTCGGAGCGTTTCAGAAGTTAATTTTTCTACGTTTCATTCCTTTGTTTACGAACGTTTTATCAACTTCATTGGTCATACAGCGTAAAATTAGCGAACGTCCGTAAAAAAAACCAAGGGACCTCCTGATAACGAAGCACGATTACTTATTCGTTCCAAATTTAAAATAAGGCCAAAATGTTCCTAGCAAAAATTTAAGAACGCCATTTGCAAATTGGCTGGATAATCCAGGCGGTGTGAAGCTCGCCGTGAACCTGCACCTGGTGCCGAGATTAATAATACGTGGCGCTGCCCCGTACGTCCTGACGGCGTGGTGATCGCGGAAGCCATTATTCGCCGGCAATGCTCAGGAATGGTGGAGTGATCCCGGATCGTATCCATGGTAACCGTGATGGTACGTCGCGGGGTGGAGCATGTGGTGTCCCGGTCTTCCCTCGGAGACCCCCGGCTCGTTCTTTACCACGCCCACGCCACTGGAATCGCCGAAGAGCTTCGATGCTGCCGAGTAGCACAAGGGCTTGAGGTCAGCGATGTCCACGGGTGGCGACCCCAGCAAACCTTCGCTCGCTTGGCACATCAGACTCAGGTCACTGAAACAAACAAAATAATAAAACATTTCTTTCTCCGGCCCAGAAGTTGCGAAGCGCCGTTTTAACATTTCGTGGAGATTCAGCTCTCTCATTCGGTGGTTTCGCCCTGAAACAGAATTGAGAGATCATCCGCGTCAAAGGTGGAACTCAAGACGCTACTAAAATTTTCATTTGCCGTGACGTTGCTTTTCCACTGCGACAAACGAAGCCGCGCGGCGAGAATAAACTATCTTCATCCAACAAACAAACGAATTAAAATTAAAATGACATACGATGTGTCGTGCTCACAAGTTGGCCATTTTGTTTAGGTTTGGGCCTAACGGCATGCAAATTTAGGCAAAACCCGTTTAGCGACGCTCGATTTGCAATGACCACGTTTACTCACGAGCGCTGTCGACAATAATATTAAAGACTTGCTGGGATCATGGCAAGTGCCTTGTAGTCTGGTAGAATTTTACCGACGTTTTACAAGTACCGGCTGTATCAGGGCGCAGACATCGAGTACCTGCGAAACGTCGGTGAACTTCACTCTCGCCACTTTCCAACATCGCACATCGAGTGGGGTCAAACGCTCTCGTGGCTGCGAGGATGTCCGGATTCGTCTCGCAGAACACAGTCTGCATCTCCAGCCAGGAGGCAGCATGTTCCTCCGTCTGTACCCACGTACAAGACCACCGAAGTCGCGTCTTCACCGCCCCGAGAAACCGAGCACGTGATGACGGAGCCAGTGGGAACAGGACCACGACGAAGTGCGTTCAGGCACAGCTGAGAAGCCGTCGCCCGTCCTGCACTGCAATCGCGGGGAGGCTCGGTGGGTCCAAGGCGGACAGCGCGCGCTCATCTGCTGCGGGCAACCAATTTTCCACTTCGCCACTCATTTCATCGCGGGCGACGTCAATGAAACGCACTATCCTAGATGCGAGTGCAGACAGACAGACAGACAGACAGACGCACACGCAGTTCCTTCTATGCGTCCTTCAAAAGTGCCGGCTCAATCCAAGCAAATCTGGGACGGGCCGAAAGTGTTCCGGGGATTTCTTCTTAATTGTTCCTAGCCAAGTCGCTCACTGCCCGCTCTAACAGAACACTTCCTAATTAACTTGGCACCGCGTCTTCTGAAATGTGGCACGTCGAAGCTGCTTCTGGTTCCCTTGTCGATACGAGCCGGCCCACACAAAATTTTGCTTCTACAGAACGCTGAAAATAAAAGTTATTCATTTATCCGCTTACTTGCAGATTTAAAATAAAACTCCGGTTCGTGTTTTAAGCTGCGAGGGCGTTTAAAGCATATTCATGAAAATAAATTTACTTCGTTTTACAAATAACGCGTGTATAAACTGTAAGTAAGGGAATTGTTTAAGTCGGCTCTCACGCAAAAAGGGACTCCGGTGCATGTCGACAAGGACGAGGTCATTCGAACTGTTTAATATTTCGCTGCTTATTTTGTCGGATTTGCGGCGTTCGTTTACGCAAAGGGACCGACAGATAAAATACGGCGAGAAAGGAAATTACCGGAGAATTAAACAAAGCAAAACTAAGGGTAGCGACCATTTGGCACGATCCACGTAAATTCAGAGCAGGCGGACGCGCGAATTTGCGATGCGAGGACCGCGATCCTTTTAACGCGTTGGGGGACACGGGGTCGAAGGTCGGAACTCAGAAGCGAAGTGGGCGATCGTTTCGTGACGACTGAGGGCAAACAACAGAAAATGAAAGAATTGCGAGAAAGTTTGATGGGGGAAATTCAATGCTGAAGAGGTTCCTAATCTGTGACCTACGCATTAGGGCGACCAAATCAAAGCCGATGATACACATGGACGGTGGAGTCGTAAAAATTGTAGTCGGTAAGGCTGAAAGACCTTGGCCTAGATGGAGGAATATTACAACAGGAAAAGGGCGGACTGGACTCAACTGGCGCGGGGCTGGCCACTGGCTCCTGAAGGAGGGAGGAAGCTTTAACGAAGCTAAAGTCGCCTCCGCTGCTCGCACTGACCTCGCGGTCGCGTGTCAATTCTTGGACCACTGGAGCAGGAATCGCGAGTTTGAACCCAGAGTCAGGCATTATTTCACAATTGTGCATCGAATTATCCTCAGAGCCTCAGAAGATAATATGAATTGCATTGCCTGTAAGAAGGGTTCAAAGGAAGATCGAGACGCGATAAGACCACCTCTGGAATGTCAGTGTACTCCAAAGAGTACATCCTCTCACTTCTTCTATAAACGCCACTTCAATTAATTTCTTGACGGCGGAGCCGCGACGCGTGAAGAGAAATTCGGGGACGGCGACGCCCGCCGACGACGCGCCAACACGAGGGCCGTGGACTTACGCAAGTGTCACTTCTCGACAGGAACTGCCAATTGATTTTGTTGTTCTTTGTGAAGCGAAACCACGAGCCAAGACATAGTTAATTGCCTTTCAATCAATCAGCGAACGCAATTAGAAAGAAACTACAACGGTTGAAGAAACAAATCCAGATTTTAAAGAAAATGGCAAAACTTTCAGGAACGGAACAAAACTTAGTCGCATCAACTACTGGCCTCTTCAGACGACGTCAATTTCGATTTACTGGTTCAAATATGAAGCTAACACGTTCAGTTCCCGCAGCCACGAACAAGGACGAAATCAGCGAAGTTCAAAACTGCGTTCACGCGAAAACGCAGGAGATACTTAACTCGCGGAATGTTCGAACCTTCTGTCTTCCCGTCTGCCGCTGTTCGGCGTGAACTCGGTTTCCATAACGCAAGAGACGAGCAGATTCTGGGCCCGAGGGACGGGCAGCACGCATGGAGGGAAGACAAACACTTGCAAGACCTAGGCGTAGACGTGAGCACAATACTAAAATGGATCAAGGAAACCAGAGGGGAATGAACCTTCGGCTTCTGAAGACTGCGCCAAGACGTTCGTTTCCACACGATGAGTAACGCAGAGATTTTTAACTCATCCCCGGAGCGACGCGGGGTTTAGGCGCGGACAGTGAACATCACGAAGACGCACAGTCGAAGGAGACGCCAGCCGTCGCGGCACGAGATGCGTTCAGAAGCGCAGTTACAATTTCACGCACAAAAACGTAAACGAACAGTGCGTTATTCATCCACTGCATGTGAACGCACACAACTTCACTGAAAACGAAGTCACTGCCTCTAAGACGGCGACGCTTAGCATCGTTATTGGGGGGAGGGGAGTGACGTTTAATCGAAACACAACAGCTATGAAAATTAAATACGGAACGCGAAGAAGACGTGCTCAGTCCTGGCGAAACAATCACAAACACAGAGCGCACGTTCCGAGCCTCGAAGACGAAGCCGTCATGAACTCACCCTCTGGGCTCCGACGTCCTGGCTCTCTGTCTCCGGTTCTTGAACCAGTTGCTCACTTGCGTCAGCGTCAGTCCCGTGTTCTTCGCCAGGTTCCTCTTCTCGTCAGGCGTCGGGTATCTGTTGCGGTCGAACCATTCCTTCAGGGCGTTCCTCGACTTCTCCTTGAAGCAGTAGATGGTCTCCTCGCCATCCCAAATCGTCTTCGGCAGCGGGTACTTCTTCCGCAGACGGTACTTGTCCACCGCACCGAGGGGCCTGCCCCTCGTCTTCTCGTGCTCCTTGTAGTGCGCGCTGAACCACATCTGCTGCAGTTCTGCGTGGTAGCGACTGTCGAAGTTGTGCGACTCCAGGATGGCGTACAGCTCTTGGAACGCGCCCTGGTGGTACGCGACGGCCGCCCTCGCTCGGAGCACGGCTTCGTTGCCCCGCAGAAGCTCCTCGGGCGACAGGAACAGCAGGAACCTCGCGAGGCGCTCCAAGTTGCCGGCCTGCTGCAGAGCCAAGCAGATGCAGGCGATTTGCTCCTGAGAGAAGGCCACGGTCTTCCTGGTGTTGAACTCGGAGACCATAATCTGCTGCTGGTTGTTCAAGGACGTCGTGCCCCCGCAGAAGTTCGCACCGGAGGGCCCCAAGTCATGAACCACGCTCATTCTCCCATGGGATCCGGTGGACTCGGTCTCCGGCGAAGACAAACTATCACTCGAAGCAGCCATCACGCAGCCCAGCGAGACAACTGGCAGGAACTTCCACCCTGCACGTCCACCGTCCTCGCAGCGACGACGAGCATCCCCCTCTGCCATTGGTCCGTGGGCGTGTCGCGTCTCTACTCATTGGTCGGCCCACGTTCCGGACTGAAACACCCGGACGGCGGGGAGGGTCGGCTTCTGTTCCAGGTACAGGCGCAGGAATCAGGCGAGAATGAACTGGCCTGAGACGAGCTCCACCCAAACTCTACTTCGTGCACAGGCAACAAGTTGCAAATCGGAGTTTTATCCTTAGAAATGCGGCGAAATAAAGATTTGGGGTTGACTTTAGAAAAGTCCGCCGGACCGCACGGCGCTACGACCCACGCAAAAAATGTTGCCAGACTGAGAAAACGAAGACTGACATCATCAGAGCAGCTGACAGTTGCACAGCCAGTCAAGAACTCTCTCTCTCTCTCTCTCTCTCACCGCTTATGGGAGCCGAAGACTCATCCCACGCCCTAGACCAAAACTTGCGACATAATTTCCTACAGAGAGCAGAA